ACAGCCGGTGCAACAGTGCAGCAATAATGCAATAAATGCCCATGTTTATTACAAGGTAGAAATATTAAAAATTGCTTAGGCAAAAGGGCAACAGATTAAAGTATTTTCAGATGGCCAAATTCACGACAGCTTTGTCCAGACGATTTACATGAATCCTGGCCTGTCCCAGCATGAGGCCACTGACCACCTGGCTTCTCTGCCAAGCGTGTGTCCAGGTACCAGCCGTGACACGCAGCACCATAGTCCCTGCTGCATCTCAGCGGCCGGAGACCTCCCACACCAGGATCTCGTTGCAGGCGGCCGTGAAGAGCAGCCTGGCAGACGGTGTAAACCTGCACAGGTGCACTGCATTGTTGTGGCCAGCAAAGTCCTGCGCAGTCCCCGTGGCACAGTCTACCAGCCTCAGCATGCACTCTGTGGGCAGATGGCGCAGGTGGGCCAGGGTCAGGGCCAGGCAGCACGCAGAGGGCTCCCCCAACCCACCCGGACTGTCCCCACTGGGCGTGATGCTGGTCGGGGGAGCCGGTGCTACAAGGGCTCCTGGCTGTGCCCTCCACGTGCCACTGGGACTAGGGGGCCCATCACTGCCAGGCTGTCAGCCCGCAGCTGGGCCGGGTCCCTCCTTAAAAGTTGCTGCCACCCTGCATTCAGGCCCTGTGCTGGGCGTTGTACCTGGTTCCTCACCGGCCTCATCATCTCCTGACCCCGGGACCCTCTCTAGGGCAGGTATCCTCACCCCACCCCAGAGACGAGGAGCGCGGGCACAGGTGAGGCACCTGTCTTGGAGCAGGGCACCAGTCAGCCTACATGGCCCCCACCTAAGATGGGCCCAAACTACATCCACCAGTACTCACCAGCAAAGCCAAGAGCCAGGAGGCGGGTCTCCGGGGACAGGCTCAGGGACATGGCAAAAAAGGGCAGTGGTATCTTCTCCACCACCTGTGGGCAGCCAGCGTGAGGCTCCAGGCCTGTGGGCTCAGGGCTCAGCCAGGTCCCACCCACCACGCTGGGTCCCTGGGGCTCCGGCGACAAGCAGGAGCTGCATGTACCTGCTTCTGGGAGAGGTCGTAGATGATCACCTCCTTGTCAACGCCAGGGCCCACATACATCAGCAGCGCCCCATCCCAGGGGCAGAAGGCAGCGAGGGAGGGCGGCAGGTGGCCCTGAGTCTGCAAAGGCACAGCATGCTGTGGTGGGGTGGACGGACGCCAGCCCTACCCACGGTGCCAGGAGCATGCTTTACCTCCGTGGTGGCAGGCATTGGGAAACTCAACCAGTCCACGAGCTCACAGCGGTTCTGCAGCCAGTCGGAGGCCCAGACGCTGACCCGCTGGTCCCCACTGGCAGCCAGCCATAGGTCTGTGCCCTCCACCCCTAAGTCTTCACACTGGGAATGGAGTGGGTGAAGGCCGATATGTGCCTTCTGCCAAGATGGTGCCTGCCCCCCCCAGCAGCCCGGCCCCTGCTCCCTGGCTCTTGGGGCTGCTTTACCTCTTTGCGTGTGACACAGATGGTAGAGATCGGGGCGCCCTGGTGGTCACTCAGCACACGGAAGGTCGTCCCCGTGCGGGAGTGGCTCACAGCCACGAGCCCATCCTTGTCTCCAGAGAGGACAGTCTGACCTGGGACCACACCGTCACCCTGTGAGCCCCCAGCCCAGAGACTGGACCTGGGCCAGGTGAGGACGGCACCATCCCCCACACAGCCAACTCCTCACCATCGGTGGAGAAGGTGACAGTGGTCAGCGCCACCGGGTGGGGACGCATCTTGAGCTCCATGGCCGTGCGGGAGACGCTGAAGATGCGCAGGGAGCCGTCGCCATAGCCTGCCGCTAGCCGCTGCTGCTCAGGGCGGCCACAGCACCGGGGGCTCCATGCGAGGCAGAGGCAGCTCTGGGGACCCACAGTGGGGAAACTTCAGCACTCACAGGGGTCCTGGGGATACACGCTCAGGCCAGAGGGAGGATACAGCTGCCCCACCCGCGCCAGGTCCCCTGCGAGCAGGCCCTCACCCCATCCCCAGCCTGGGCACTCCCCACACACCTGGTTCAGCACCTGGAACTGGATCACAAGCTCCATGCTGGCCAAGGCCCACACCCGCACACTCCCGTCCTCACCGCACGTGGCACAGTGGGACTCCCCGGGGCCGAAGACCACCTCGTTCACCTGAGGGAAGCCGTAGCTAGGCTGGGAGTGTTGGCCGCTTGGCAGGGGAAAGGGACACAGGCATTTCCTATTCCAGCCCCCAGGGCCGGGCTGTCCAAACCAGAGCATGTGCCTCTGGCCCCGGCCAACCCCACATGGCGAAAAGGAGCAGTTCCGGCCTCCCGTGTGCATCCCTGCGCTAGATCTGGGTGAGTCCAAACCAAAGCAAGCCTACTAGCCAGTCAAACTCGGTGGGATACTGAGGAGAAAGCTGTTTTGACGGCACCTCAAACACAGCAGTGTGGCCGTGTGTCCCTAGCAGGCTGCAGAACGAAGTCGAAAGCACAGACGCGCCGGGCGCGGTGGCTCACGCCTGTAATCCCAGCACTTTGGGAGGCCGAGGTGGGCGGATCACAAGGTCAGGAGATCGAGACCATCCTGGCTAACACCGTGAAACCCCGTCTCTACTTAAAAAAAAACAAAAATTAGCCGGGCATGGTGTGGGCACCTGTAGTCCCAGCTACTCGGGAGGCTGAGGCAGGAGAACGGCGTGAACCCAGGGGGCGGAGCTTGCAGTGAGCCGAGATCGCGCCACTGCACTCCAGCCTGGGGCACACAGCAAGACTCCGTCTCAAAAAAAAAAAAAAAAGCACAGACGCTGCTGGTTGCAGTGAGTACACCACGCAGTCGCGTTTCTCCTCCCAAAACCGCTGCGTGCCGATCGGGGGGGAAAGGCAGACGTGTTATTATGTGGGTGCCACTGACAGCTGGGACTGCTGGACTGGCAGAAAGGAGACACAGGTGCCACTCACTATGAGAGGAAGCCACGCAGCCGGCACCAAATGTGGACTTTACGTGCAAGTGAGAACACGATGCACTTCATTAAGAAAATCAGTTCAGCTGGGCGCGGCGGCTCACGCCTGTGATCCTAGCACTTTGGGAGGCCGAGACGGGCGGATCACGAGCTCAGGAGACTGAGACCATCCTGGATGACACGGTGAAACCCCATCTCTACTAAAAAATACAAAAAAAAACTAGCCAGACGAGGTGGCGGGCGCCTGTAGTCGCAGCTACTCAGGAGGCTGAGGCAGGAGAATGGTGTGAACCCAGGAGGCGCAGCTTGCAGTGAGCTGAGATCGTGCCACTGTACTCCAGACTGGGTGACAAGCAACTCCATCTCAAACAAGCAAACAAAATCAGTTCAGCTGAGCGATGAGGGACTGCAGGGACTCAGACCAGGACGTCTCAGTCTGTCTCCCCAGGAGGGGCCCTGGGCCCTGCAAGGAAATGGTGAAGTCTGTGCGCGGGCAGAACCATACAGGCGGGGCCCGGAATTCCTTACACTTCCACATCACAGGGAGGCCACCAGCGACCACAGGCTCAGGTCACGGACTCAGGACCTGAATTTCCTGGCCCTGGTGGGTGGACACACGCATGATCTACCCATACAATGGAACAGTATTTGGCCGTAAAGAGTAATGACTGGCTTGGCACACACAGCGGCCGGGATGACCCTGGAAACCACACTCGGGGAGAGAAGCCAGGTGAGCCAGTTCCTACAGAACATCCTGAACGGGAAAATCTAGACACAGAAAGCCACTCAGTGGTTGCCAGGGGCTGGGGAGGCGGGAAACGGAGAGTGACCGAGGAACAGGCATACACAAGGTTTCCTCTGGTTCCACAGCTGCTGAATATGCTGAAACTCACCTACTGAAGTGCACAGAGCTCATGCTATGACAACCATACCTCAACAAACCTGCTGCCAGAAAGGTAAAGAACCCTCACCCGTCTCACACTCAGCTTCCTCTGCTGGCTATCGTCATCTTCAAACACTAAAGACAGGTGTCTAAAGAAAGAAGCGAGGGACAACTGGAAGATGGGACTCGGCATCAAGGAACAATCAATCCCCGTGGGGACCAGCTGACCACACGCAGGGCTCTTAGACCCACAGGAGGAAGCCCGTGGCCGCAGCTGCTGGACCAACACCACACCAGAAACCTGGTCCAGCAGGGAAGGACTGGCACCTGTCCTGCTGCCCCAATTCAGCCCAGGAGGCCACACCTCTCCTAAGGCTGCAGCTGGCGGGTGAGGGGCAACATGGTGGCTGCCCCAACCCCATGAGGCCACGGAGCTTCCAGGCCAGGTGGTCCCAGAGAGGTGAGTGCTGTGTGCTTCTTGGAGACACGGCTCCAGCACAAGGAGGCTGCAGGACAGAGCTGGGCCTTACAGAACTGGACACAACACCGACCAGAACCTGACCAGATCTGACCCAGAGAGAGCAGAACTTGACCCAGTAGCCGCCCGGCCTCCTGACCTCTTGAGCCCACGAGACTGAGTCAGCAAAGCCAGTCTATGGGAGGTGCGGGGACAGACGATGTGGGGTTTTTAATCTTTTTCTTCCCTTGGAGATGGAGTCTTGCTCTGTTGCCCAGGCTAGAGTGCAGTGGTGCAATCTTGGCTCACTGCAACCTCTGCCCACTGGGTTCAAGTGATTCTCTTGCCTCAGCTTCCAGAGTAACTGGGATTACAGGTATACATCAGGAGGCCCAGCTAATTTTTGTATTTTTAGTAGAGACAGAGTTTCGCCATGTTGGGCAGCCTGGTCTCAAACTCCTGACCTCAGGTGATCTACCTGCCTCGGCCTCCCAAAGTGCTGGGATTATGGGCGTGAGCCCCCACACCCAGATTAATGTGCTTTGACAATTAAAAAACAAAACAAAACAAAACAAAACAACGCAAAGCAATAGCATGGAAAGGACGGTTTGAGAACACCTGCAAGGCCTGCCAGGCAGCTCCCTGGTGCAGACACAACCGGGATGGCACTGAGGGACGTGCACACCCAAAACCTTCCTCCTGTGAACCCCAAGGCGGCCGCTGTGAGCCACTGACCGCAGGACTTGGAATAATCTGGGCTGGCGGAGATGGGGCCAGCAGGCAGGAGGGCGCCAGGTTCGGCTGCCCTGCCTCTGTCCAGGCTGGAAGTCCCTCACCTTGCTCCTGTGGCCACTGATGAGACGTGTGCTAGTGCCCTCGGCCCAGCTGATGAACCAGAGCGTGCCCGCTCTGGTGCCCACGACGCCCATGTCCACGCTGTCATCGAAGCTGGCGCTCACCACAGCCCCGTCCAGCACCAGCTCTCGTTCCATGAACACAGAACTGGACCTGAGGGTGCAGGGGAGGAGGAGAGAGGAGAGAACAGCGGTCTCAAGGCTGACAAGAGCCAGCGGGGTCCCCAGCTGAGGCAGGGCCTTCAGCATTGCGTCTTGGGGCCTGGCTGTGCCCTCCCAGCGGAGAAGAGAAAGCCCACGGAACTGGGGCTTCTGGGCCCGTCCCGTCCTCGCTGGCCTTGCAGCCAGCGAGGCCCAGGCCACACCCAAGCCTGTCCCTCGGAGGGGCTAGCAGACGGCTGGTCTGCGGGCAGTCTAGCGGGGGGCACTGGCTGCAAGCCCCGGTCAGGGACACCAACACCCACCTGCAGCTGAAACACACGGGGGTGAACGGCTCACCTGGCACCCGAGCCCTTGCACCTCAGCTCCGACACAGGCCCCACGGCCCACAGGCGAAGCCGCCCTGTGCTGCTACCGCTGACCAATCGAGAGCTCGAACACAGCAACAGCCCTGGGAGCAGGAGGAGCCATAAGGGGCCACGGTCGCCCTCCCAGAGGCCCTGGGTCACAAGGCTGCCCGGACGCCAGGGCTGGAGATGAGGCCTCTGCCCCAGTTCTGAGGATCCCAGGTAGGGGTCCTGAGGGCCACGGGGCTTCTGCAGGGCACTCACCAATGCCACCATCGTCTGCCTCCCAGGACAGGAAGCAGCGGCCAGCACGCGTGTCCCAGACACAGACCTGGCCGGAGCTGGTGCCACAGTAAAGCAGGGGGGGTGCCCCGTAGCACAGTGAGGTCAGCTCTCCAGCCCCCACTGTCTCTGGGACCTGCTCTCGATGCACCTGGCAGGGTACGAGTAGCCACGGGTCAGTGGTGTCCCGGGGCCCAGTCAGATTCCACCCCACAAAACGACCCCTGGGCCCAAACACCAAGCAGGCGACCTGGCACCTGAAGGCTGATGTCTGCCCCGCATTGCTGCAGGAGCCAGAAGGTGACAGTGCCCTGGCCCACACAGGTGAGCTCGCCGGCGTCCCAGGGGTTGAAGGCCACGCCATGCACCGGCTCCGGGAGGCGGGTGGAGGACACAAGGTCATAGGTGGCCGTGCCCCACAGGGCGAGGGTGCGGCCGTCGTGGTCCCCTGGGAAGGACACACAGCAGCCGCGTCAGGTGCACAGGTGCAGCCCCCCACCAGGGTCTAGGGAAGCCTGTGGCCTCCGACCCCCCCACCACTGACCCAATGTGACGAGAAGCCTGTCATCTGGTGAGAAGGCCAGGGCCAGCACAGTGGTGCTATGGTGGGAAATGAGATGCTGGCAGAGGCCACCAGACACATCCCAGACGCGGATCTGACAATGGTCAGTCGTGCTGCTGTGGCCTGAGGCAGAGGCCAAGACCTGGCAGGCGAGAGGACATGCAGTGAGTGGGGGGGCCGCGGCCGGCTGGCCCCGCCTCAGCTCTGCCAGCTCTGGCTGGAGTGGAGGCTGGGGTGGCCATCGGCTCCTTCTGTGGTGGTGAGAGCCCGCACTGGTCCGGGAGCTGGGTTCTGCCAGGCACAGTGGTCCTGGGTGAGGAGGAGGGCAACGTAGGCGGGCACCTGGGCACTGTGGCTGAGGGCCAGCGTGGAGATCTCCGCAGGGTGGCCGGGCCAGTGCTGCTGGGCGCCGGAGTGCAGGTCTTCCACCACCACCAGGCGGCCGCAAGTGTAGGCAAAGAAGCCTGTGCGGAGAGAGGGCGGGGCCTGGGGGCGGGGCCGCGCAGGGGCGGGGCCTGGCCAAGCCGCGGGGCGTGGCCAAGGGGTTAGCATCATCCCGGGCACAGGCGCGCCCTCCCCACCACCCGGCAGCCAAAGTGCTTCCCAGGACCTGGGCTGGGGCGCCAGGAGGGGCTACCGGGAGAACAGAGCCGCACATTGATGGCTGGCGCTCATATGCCGCCAGGGCCTGGCCTTGGTGTGGAGACAGCTGGACTGGGGGTGGGGGCAAGCTCTGGGCCCCCACCTGTGTCCGGCCTCCAGACCATGTTGGCCCGCCCATTCCCACTGTAGCCAACGACAGCCTTCAGACGCAGCCACTCACTGCTGGCGGGAGGCAGGGAAGTGCCCTGCAAGGAAGGAGACCCGGATGCTGCTGGGGCCCAGCATGGCCACCTGGGCCCCAAAGCCTGCACATGGGAGGCTGCTTTGGGGCATACCCAGGCCAGCTGCAGAGGGCACCCAGGGGCATAGATGGGGAAGCAGGGGTGGGAGGTGTGGGCACTCGGTGTGCCAGGGCCAGGAGGGACACAGGCCCGTAGGGCTCTCAAGGGCAGCTGCTGGATGAGAGGGGAAGGCGGGTCAGCAGGAGGCCACCACAGGGTCCTGTCTGGAGGCCGGCGGAGGGCAGGGGCGGGGGTGCGGGATGAAGGTGCCTCCAGGAGACAGGTGCCCGAAAGCCAGAGCATCACCTTTGGAGACCAAAAACAACCCTGAGGAGGTGCTGGGGAGCCCTGGGGGGGCCTCTGTGCTTGCTGGGGAAAAAGAGGGCTCCCAGAAACCACTCCCCACCTTGGCAGAGTGGGGGCCGCGGCTGGCCCTGGCAGGTGTGAAGGCCTTGTGGGAAGCTGGGCAGGTGGTGCGTGGGGCCCCCGAACTCTTGGTGTCGCTGGTGCCTGGCAGGGAGGAGTTAGAGCCTGTGGCATCACACTGCTCTGCAGCTCTTCAGAGACCCCACACACTACACGCAGAGTCTCCCCGCAAGGCTCTGGTCTACCACACAGTGACAATGCATAGCGGGGCAGAGGCCGGGGCCACAGGTACAGGCAGGTGACCTCGCCTCTTAACATGGTGGACTCACCGACCGCCCTCAGGTCCCTGCACCGGCACCAGCGTCCCTGCCCTGCCCTCCACTGCTCACAGGGTTGGCTGGGGGAACGGGGAGATAGGGCAAGCCCCCAGGAGCCCACTGCCGCAGCCCAGGCCCCGTCTCCAGCCCTGCTGGCCTCCTTCTCCGTGAGCAGTGACCCCTCGGGGTCACGGCTCTCCTCACAGGGTCCTTCCTCATCCGACGTGGTGAAGGTGCCTGGGCCCAATGAAGAGAGGAAAAGCTGCCCACGTTCCCTCTCCCCACTGTGTCCCACCTGATGAGCAGTGATGGCACCTGCACCCCAGAGCTGGATGTGCATGAGTACCTGCTGCCACTGGGCCTGTGTCCTCAGACCCGAATCCCCCCACTCCCCCAGGACCCCTGCTGCTCACCATCGCCACCTTCGGGAGGCCTGGCACAAATGCCTTGCCGTGGTGGAGGTGCCTGAGATGGCTTGGGGACCTGCTGCCGGGGGAGCTCGCTGGCCCTGGACGCAGCATCCTCTAGCTGTCCTGTGCCCAGGCCTGGGGAATAAAGAGCCCTATGATGTTTGGGGAGGAAGAGGAAGGGCCGCTGGGCAGACACAGGACCAGCCCCAGAGTCAGTGCAGCGCCTGCCCCCCTGCTGAGCACAGCCACTCACCTGCCTCGCAGGCTGGGGAGGGTCCAGGGAAGCTTTGGTTGCTGGAGAGGGAGGAGAGCGGGTTTCAGGAGGGTCTGGGGGGCCTAAGCAGACACAGCTGAGAGTAGGCACTTGCCTCTCAGTAGTGGCCAGGATATCCCAGAGGAAGACGGCATCCCCTGCGCTGAGGACCTGCTGCTGGTCAGGAGAGAAGGTCACAGCCTGCACAGGCTCCGAGTGGCCGATGTACACCTGGAGGTAGCGGCGTCACACACAGGGACCCTGAGGCAGGGCATGGATGCTGCCGTGTGCCCAGCCCCTGGGGGCGGTGAGCCCCACACAGCGTGAGACCCCGGAGGCACAGGGGGTCCTTGGGGGGTCACTCTTACCTCTTACCTTCTGCTCTCCCTGGCCCCATGCACACCTGCAGGGGTCTCCCGGGCCACCTGAGGTTTTCCTGATGGCCAAAGCCACCTGCCTCCCCACGCACACACCTGGGGGCCTGGGCTGGCCTGTGTCGTGTAGTCCCACACCTTGACCGCCCGGCCAGCGGCCATCAGCAGGAAGCGCGTATCCTCACTGAGCATCAAGGAGGAGCAGGGCTCAGGGTGGACACCGGGCAGCTGGAACACAGTGCTCTTAGGAAATGCTGTGTCTCAGGAAAGTGGCTGGCAGCCTGGGGCCTCCCTTCGTTGCGGGTGTGGCGATGGCCCCCCACCCAGCTGGAGGGGCTGCAGGCACAGAGGCCGGGCCTGGTCCGCACAGGGAAGGCCAGGTTGGCGGGCTGCAGCCCTGAGGCTCACCTCCCGGATGATGCGGCCTGACGCAGCATCCAGCACCACGACTCTGTTGGACGAGGTGGACACCAGCAGGTGGCCCAGGGCTGCAGGGCCAAAGCACACAGCCATGGCTGAGTCCAGGCGGCCGCTGGCCAGGTCCAGAGTGCCGACGTCGACTCGCAGCAGCTGGGGTAGCGGCAAGTGGCCGACAATCAGGTCCCCAGGCAGAGCTGGTGCCACCCAGGGCCAGGCTTGGGAGGGAAGCTCCGGGGACACTCACTCGGCACCCAGGCAGCACCTGCCCTGTACAGGAACCTGGCCGCACCTGGACCCCACATGGCTGATGTGTACTGTGACAGGAGGCGGGACAGGGCCTAGGTCCTGCTCAAGTGACTGTGACCTCCCTCCTGCCCCTGCAGCCAGCCTTTCATAGCCCAGTCTCCCTGGACCCAGGAGGGCTGCAGACTCACCTCGTCCAGGGAGGCCGAGCCCATGACTGTCACTGTGTGCCTGGAGGGTCCCACGAAGGCCAGCAGGCGGCCATCCCTGCTGACTGCCAGAGTGCTGGGGCTTGCAGGGGCATCCGGCCATACCATGTTCTCTGTGGCCACATGGGGCGGGGCAGGGGTCAGCTTGGGGGGAGGGAGCGCCGGGGTACATGTGGCCAGGGCCCAAGGAGGCCGCTGCCCCTGCCCCCATTTGCGGGAAACACCAGCCCAGGAATGCAAATGCGTCACAGTGGCAGAGGAATGCCAAGGTGCCAGTGGGTGCCAGGCGCTGCCAGGGGAGCTGGGAATCCCTGTGGGCTAGCAGTGGTCACAAGTGACCACTCAGGTGGCCCAAGTTATGGTGGCCGCAGGACAGGTAAGGTGCCCGTGGCTGGGTCTGACCCCAGCTGCTGACCTGGAGCTTGGGCTGCCTGCCTCCTCCTGGGCACAGACCTGGGCTGACCTCTGGCCTTGGGGGCCAGAGAATGCTAAACCACAATCTTAGGGCCTTGACAAGGTAACTGAGGCAGCCGCGCTGCCCCACAGGACCCAGCCAGTGGACCAGGAAACCGGCACGTGTGTCGAGGTGTTGGCCTGCACCAGACCCAGGCCTCTCCCGCCCGGAGGAGTCCCCTGGAGCGGCTGCGGGGGGCCCAACCTGCCACTCGGAGGACATGCCACTGGGGGTCTGCACAGTTGTACTGGGCCAGGGAGCCCCGGGAGCAGGAGCTGAAGAGCAGGCGGCCGTCAGGGGTGGCGGTCAGGCCGGTGATGGCTCCTTGGTGGCACCTGCAGTACACACAGGGACCCCGCTGGCGCCAGCCCCAAAGCCCAGCTAGGACGTGAAGCCCCAAGAACCACAGGGTCCCTCGACCTCCAGCCAACCAGCCTGGCCACGGAAGCCCCCGTGGGGCAGCAAAGGATGGGGCTCCGGCCAGCACTGGCCATCCTGCACATGACCCCCGGCTGGCCACCCCAGCTTCCACCGCGGGGTCTCCGTGGGGCTGGTGGCTGGCCGGGCACTTACGTGTGTTCCACCAGGACCTCAGCGGCCTCCAGGCTGAAGGAGCGCACAGCCCCACTGCTAAAGCCGCAGAAAAAGATTGGCCTTGTGGGGTGGAAGGTGACGGTGCACGGGGCCTCCTCTAATGATGTGAAGTCGTACAGCTGTGGGATGGGGGCCGTGCTGAGGGGAGGGCAGGGATCACAAGGGCCCAGAGGTTCTCCAGGAGGCCCAAACCCACCAGGCCGACACAGCCTGGAAAGACCAGGTCCCTACAGGCCCCCCTCACCCCTGCTGACAAACCCCTGCTTCACGACCTCCTGGCCTTCCCTGTCGCGCTGCCCCTGCCAACCGCACCTGCTGCAGGGTGGCCAGGTCCCAGATGCGGACAGTGCGGTCCTGGGACACGGTGGCCAGCTGTCCCCGCCTCTGCTCCGTGGCGAGGGCCAGCACTGGGGCGGTGTGGGAGCGAGCCAGCATGTGGTATACCCGGGACGGCGTGTCCAGGAAGCCCAGGTGGCCCGAGGAGGTGGCAGACAGCACACGGAGGCCGTCGGGGCTGACACAGACTGAGCTGACGGGGCCCTCGTGCTCTGTGGGTGGGGCGGGGTCAGGGACCTCCCAGGGCCACCCCAGGGTGAGTGGTATGCCAGAGCCAACCCTGGGCAGCCACTGCTCAGGCTTCAGGTTCCCAAGATCTCAGCAAATGCACTCCCTGCTGCTCAGAGTCCCGGGCTCCACATGGCTGCAAGATGCAGCTCCCTTGAGACCGCCACTCCGAGGCTAGGCAGGACCCAGGCTGAGGGGCTTCACCCACTACCCATGGCCCACCAAGCCCTTCCGTAAGGCTGCCCTGTGGGCCGCCCTGGCATCAGTCGCCCCAGGGCTCAGGACATGTCGCTTGGCCCCATGGCTCCCTGTGCAGCCAGGAGCCAGGGCGGCTGACAGCAGAGCCCCGGGGACTTGCCCTTCCCTGCCCCAGCATCCAGGCGAGGCTCTCCTGAGTTGGAGGAGCGTGCCTACAACCTCACCTGCCTCCAGGAGCACCGAGGAAAAGTCCAGGGGCCAGAGCCGCAAGTAGCCGTCCGCAGAACCCACAGCACACACGGCCGGGGAGAGGCTGAGGCTGCTGATGGCAATGCCGGGCCCTGGGGGCGGGGGGCGTCAGTACCTCAGTGTCCCTGCCACCCTCGCCACATGGCAGGAGCCCTCTCACCTGTGCTGAAGGTCTGCTTCTGCGGGTGGAGGCCGCCCAGAGTCTGTGTGGGGAGCAGGCGGCGGGCATGCCGCACGACCATGCAGTGACAGTCGATCTCCAAGATGTGGCCGCTGCGGCTGCACACGAAGCTGCCCAAGAAGGCAAGAGGGGAGGTAAGGCCCTCAGGGTACCAGACACCAGGGCCCCCACGCTGGGGCAGGCTGAGGGGAAGGGCAGGGGCTCACAGCATGGCAGCCGAGGGCTTCGGGCAGCCGTCCTGGGCCTGCTTGAAGGCGAGGTCGGTGAACTGCAGCACGTGGTGCTCCCCCAGGTCCACGGGGCAGGAACGCAGTGCCCCGCCACGCAGCCGCCAGAGCCGCACGCTGCCCTGCCCACACGACGCCATCCTGCGAGGAATGAGAACTGAGCACCGCAGCAGCCCGCAGTGCCCTGACCCGCCAAGAAACGTGATGCACAACCAAGGCTGGGAACGACGGTCCCCGAGCCAGGGGGAGGTGCTCGGGCCACAGTCCCCACTCCGGGCCCCAGTCCCCACTCCGGGCCCAGACCCTCTCCCAGCATCGTGGATGGGCAGCTGCATCACCTGGTTTCATCAAAAAAGGTGACCCGGAAGGCCTGGACGTCAAAGTCAGTGTGCGCCTTCGCCAGAACGACCACCTCACCACGGAGGCCCACCTGGCCGGTGCCCCAGGCCACCACCATCTGCAACAAGCCCAGGCTGAGCCCGCACAGCAGGGCCAGTCAGTGCCGCCTTGATTCTGCCAGGCCCAGCTGAGCCCCACCTGGACGTGGCTTTTCTCTCACGCAGAGACCAGCCTCTGAGCGTGTGGCTGCGTAGGGTGGAAGGAAACCAGCCCCTCCATCTTCTCGCCCTGACATGTGCCAGCTTTGGGACGACTACAGAGACCCACGATGCTGAGTGCTGCATCCCATCCACAGAGAGGTAAAAACCCACCCGCAAGCTGGAAGGCAGATAAAAAGCAGCTCGTGGCTGGGCACAGTGGCTCATGCCTGTGATCCCAGCACTTTGGGGGGCTTGAGGTGGGAGGACTGCTTGAGCCCTGGAGTTTGAGACCAGCCTGGGCAATGTAATGAAACCCCATCTCTACAAAAAGTTAAAGAAGCAAAACGCTAGCCAGCTACAGTGGCCCACGCCTGTGGCCCAGCTGTCTGGGAAGCCGAGGCAGGAAGATGGCCTGAGTCCAGCTGGCAGGGAGGTCAGGGAGGGGTCGAGGCTGCAGTGAGCTATGACTGCACCACTGCATCCCAGCCTAGGTGACAGAACAAGGCCCTCCCTCAAAAAAAAGTATTCTAAAAAAGTGCCCCCACCGAGACACCAGGCGCTTTGGCTGTGTGGACGTGCCACTGATGCCCAAGTGTGGGTAGCTGCAGGGGCTCTGCCATGTGAAAATCTCATAACTGCATCACCAGCAGAGAGAACGAGGCAAGGTGTGTAAATGCTGACTTAAACCGACTCCAATGGCCGATAAACCAAGACACGTGAGAAATGTGAGCTGCTGGTGCTTTCTGTAGAGAGCAGGTGGGCGGCATGAACACCGGAGTGCACAGAGCCGGGACCCAGGATCACACAAGATGTTCAGAAAACCAAGACCCTTCAAGCTGCCTGCGTGCATTAGGATGGCCCCCCCAGCCCCCAGTCCCCGGCCAGGGCCCGGTTACCGTCCTCCCGTGGCGGTCCTTGCCAACCCCGCAGAGAAGGGATCCGCTGTCAGAGAAGCTGTGAACAGGGGGGAGGTGGTCAGTGTCGCCTGGGCTGACCCCCACCCCCTGTGTGGGGCAGACCTGTGCCCACCTGAGAGAGCAGACAACATGCACTGGGCTCTGGAACACGCACAGGCACCGCCCGGTCTGGAAGTCCCAGAGCCGTATCACACTGGGGGTCCTTGCCTGGGCCGAGGCCAAAAGTGAGCCGCTGCCATCCAGCGCCAGGGCGGACACCTAGGAGGCAGAAGGGTGAGGGAGGGTGCAGAGGCTGCAGGTGCGAGCTGCCCTGGGCCCGGGCAGCACCCACCTTGTCTGTGTGGCCGAGGAAGAAGCGCTGCTCCCCCGTGTCCACGAGCAGGACGACGATGACCGCATGGCAGGGGTATACAACAGCCGTCCCGTCTGGGGTCCACAGGGCCTGGCACAGGGGGCAGGGAGCTTAGGACTGGTGCTATGCCAGGCCCCTCCTGGCTGCTGGGAGGTCAGCTTCACCTCCCACTCCAGCCGAGGGAGAGGGGGTGGCAGGCCTGGCACACACACCTGGGCACACAGCCACCCAGGAACAAGAGAAAACACCCTGCACACACTACACACACGAGTCACAGGCTGCAGATGTCAAAAGAACAGCTGGAACACACAAGCAGGCACGCGTACACACACGCACAGACGCCTGTCCTCTAAGCCCCGCCTCCAGTGCAAGAAACTCCGGGGTGGGGATAACAAAAAGCCAAAGGGCCCCCAAACACTCAGAGCAGGCACCCAGCAGGGCCTGACAAGGGCCCAAGGCCACTGGGGCAGAGGGGAAGGCCACCTCCTCTGCCATGGGGCTCCTCTCCTAGAAGGCCCTCGCCACCCATCAGAAACCCACAGGTTGTGCCCACAGCCTGGCCCCACGCTGCTGGTCTGGACCATCAGAGCTCTAAAGACGTGAGAGCTCTGGGTCTTCGTGGGGAGCACTTAGCCCAGCCAGTGAGTAAGAGATGCCCGTGACCCTGAGAGCCCCCTGGTACCAGGAGGTGACAGCAGCTGTGGGCGGGGCAGATGCCTGAGCACGAGGGAAGCAGCAGTCTGCAGGGGGACAGGATCGCTGTGCCGAGGGGGCTCGGGAGCCCACACAGCCACCACAGGACATAGGTCTCTCCTTTCTCCCTGTCCCATATCAGCGCTCAAGGCAGCCAACAGGAGCTGCTCTGGACACAGCCACAGGAGCCTCACCTGTCTGGTGCTGTGGCCCCCGAAGCCGATGACGCCCTTGAGCCTCAGGATAGGGTCCGGGAGGAAGCGCTGAAACAGCCATTCACATCAAGGCCCTGGAAGGCTCAGCCAGGCCCCCAGAACGCCCCTGACCAACTCTGGGCCCCGCCAACCCCTAACTGGGTCCTGCCTCTCAAGAAGACTGCCCTGGTCCTGGGAAGCTCCTGCTGGTGTGCTAGGGAGGAAGCTGGGACTCCGGCTGTACTGCCAGACCTTCCAGAGTCCCCCACAGACCACCCGGGGCTTCCTCACTCTTTGTGGACAGAGATTCTTCCCCAAAGTTGCCTCCCGCCAGCCTCAGGAGGCTGAATCAGAGGAGACCGTCAGAGACACGTTCGTCCTGAACACACCTCGTGGCAGGCTACCAGCTGCCCCGGCCCACACATCGCCGGACCCCGCCTGCTGTGGGATGGGCACTCACCTTGCAGGAGCCGGCGTCCTCCAGGGCCACAGGCACCTCAGTCGACTCGTGAGTCAACACGTGGGTGCCGGCAGCAGCCGTGTGGACGTCAGAGGCCTTCACCCGGGCCCAGGGCTCAAGGCTATGGAAACCGGGGCCATCCGCGTTGGAGGCCTCTGAGCGCTCTTGGGACAGGCTGACCTCTGGGAAGGGCCTGGGTGCCAAGGGGGCCTGGCTGGACTGTTGGGGGACAAGTGCCCATCAGTGCCCTGGGCCGTCACGCCCCAACCCCATCTCAGAGGACGAAGGGGATACTCACGGCTGTGGGGCTGGGTGTCTGGACCACTGGAGACACACTGAATTGCACAGGTTTGCTGGAGGCCACTGGGCAAGGGAGAGGGTGTGGCCCCGGCCCCAGGAGGACTACAACAGAGCAAAGACTCCCAGTGACCCAGGGGTGAGCTATGCAGACCCCTGGTGAAGGTGACGCCTGGGGAGAAGCAGCAGCAAGTGGCCCAGCCTCACAGGCTCTGCAGGACCCACAGCCAGCATCCCACTTCCGCCCTAGGCCCTAAAACCCTCCTCTTCCAGCTAGAAAGCTTGGGGCCCCCAGGTACCCCTCACACAGACCTCGCACCCATGTGGTTCCGGGAGCTCGGACAACCTACAGCCTTCCCTGGGTCCCTGCACCAGCTGCAGCCAGCACACCACTAGGTCCTTTCCCAGCCCTCCCCTCTCCTACCAAGCCCCACGCACCCTACAGGCCTTAACCTGGGTCCCCGCTGACCCCACAGGCCCACCTGCCTCAGGAGGTGAACCGCTCTTCTCAATCAGCTTGGAAGGCACTTTCAAGCTGTCGCCTGGAAACCTTGGCAGGCAGAGGGACAGTCACCGTCTGGGGGCCCAAGGGCCACCTACCCTCCCACCACCAAGGCCGTTGTGGAAAAAAGCAGAACCACTCACCGGACATGGACGTAGCGGTCATGCCAGCTCTCGCCCTTGGGCACAGGGAAAGCCATTTCCCGAGGCATAGGAGTGATGGGCAGCTTTGCCCACGGGGCCCCAGAGATGGCTACAAGAAGCAGGGTTGTCCCAGGTCAAGGGAGGCTGTTTGGCCACCTGAGCACGGGGCACCTGCCAAGGCACCGCCATACCACCAGCCCAGCCACCACCCCACCCCTGGGCGCCTCCGGGATGGGGTTCTGGCCAGAGCTCAGAAACAGCACAGCCTGAGTACTATACTTTCCGAAGCACCCTGGACTCGGGCCTCTCCAGGGCTGACAGCATGGGTGAGACGTGGAGTGGGGAGCACAGGTGTGGCCCTCACCAGGCTCAAAGCACAGGTCGCTGGTGTAAAGGTTCCTGACCAGCAGGCTGGCGCACAGCCTGACGCTCTTGAGATGGCCGTAGCGACGGTTCAGGTAAACCAGGAGAATGTCCTGCAGGTCGAGCTGCAGGAAGGTCCAGCGGGCTCCATGGGGGACCAAACCCACCAGATCTGCAGGACAGGCACTCAGGGTCAGCGCCCACCATCCTGACAGCCCGACTCCCAGAACTGCGAGCTTGTGCCCCCGCCAGGTTGTCCCCCAGGCCACAGAGGAGCCTCCCTGGGCCTGCACCAGCTCTCTCCAGCCGCCTGTCCTGGACCATCCACACCCCATCTCAGTGTCACCTCTCTGGGGTGTCCTGGCCTCCAGGACGAAGGGAAACTGGAGCCGCGTGGCTGTAGATTTAAACTCCTTGAAGAGGTTGGAGAAAGACACACGGATGACCTGGTTGTCCTGTGGGGACGGAGCAGGGCCTTGAGGAGATGGGCCGCAGGGGTGCTGGGGCTCCCATGCAGCCCCCAGCCGCGGGCTCTGTACCTCGGTGGACACATCCAGGTGGATGACGAAGTGCTTGTTGGGCAGGGGCCGAAAGAGCACATACAGGTACCGCCCGGTCAGCCCCAGGGACTGGGTGCTGTTCTTAGGCAGCTGGATGTAGTTGGCGGCAGAGACTGAGCCCCGAATGCGATACACGGCGCCCTTCAGGGTCTTGTCCTGGAGAAGCGGGAGCGCGCGTCACCGACGGCAACCAGGACAAGTGCAGCGGGGGCGAGGGGACCCCTCGGGGGCGGGGCCGTTCTCCCGGGGGCGGGGCAGGGGTGTGGGCTCCGGGCGAGCCCCGGCCGCCTACCGTCACCACGGCCACGTCCCCCTGCTTGGCGGAGCGCTTCCACTCGTCCACCCGGAAGTGTCTGAAGACGTTGAGGAACGGGTGCTGCCACGCTGCGGGGAGCGGGCGGCGGGCGTCAGGGGGCCCGGCCCCGCGAGCCGGAGCCACTGCGGGGCTGGGCCGGGCCTCGGGGACCAGGCAGGAGCCGGTGGGGCCAGGGCTCTCCGCGCCTTCCCCGGCGACGCCAACGCCAGCGAGGCGGGCGGGACGAGTCCGGGCGCCCGAGGGAAGCCAAGCTCCGGGAGCCCGAGGGTGGGCGCCCGGCAGGCGGTACTCTGCCCGAGCGGGGACTCTGGCCTCGGGGCCTAGGCGGGGGCCCTGAGCGCCCCGGCCGCCGACCCTGGACCCCGGAACCCCGGAACCCGGGACCCGCGCCCGCCGCGCGCTACCTCGGGCCATGGCGCCGCTCGAGCTTCCCGCCTTAGCGTCCGCGCGCCCAGCGCGAGACATGCAGCGCGGCGCCTGGCAACGGCTGCCTGACAACGGTGCTACTTCCGCCATCACTTCCGCCGTCATGGCGGCACCCTGGCCACGTGACTTCCCCCTTGTAAGCACCCCGCTGACGTCGGCAGCCTCCAGGGTTGCTCCGGCAGCTGACCCCGCTTCCCTATGCCTGCTGCGTGCAAGCAGCAAGGCGAGGTCGCACTGAGGCCTGGCCATGCCACGGACAGCCAGGCCTCACCCTGCCGCTCTCTCGCTGTCCGGAGGCCCCTGGTCCACACCTGGGTACCCTGGGTCCTGACTCAGGTGGGCTGGGTCACCCCAGCTCATCAGGGAAGGTAGTGCCGGCGCCCGCGGAGTGCCTGGTTCCCGTGCTCGTCCTGGCAGGTTCCCCACGCACTCCTTCGCTCAGTGTCCCGCGGCCGGGCCCGCGGATTCAGAATGGGGCGTGGCGTTCTGAGACATAGCCCCAATCCTGGTGGTTGGGGGAGGTGGTCTGGACCTTTTCATGTCTTTAGGCCTTGAATCTCGGCTCTGGTCCCAGTCAACGCCAACGGGAGAGGAAGGAGGGGCAAAGTGGGGTACAAAGACTTCCAAGCAAGGTGAGCTGGCCAACGTTCCTCCCACCTGTCAGAGGGCAGCTGGGTGAGAAGCCAAGGGCCTGAGGGGACAGGGCTACAAGGGGAGTTTGTGCTGGGCCTAGGTGTCCCAGGCTGCGGACTGGAACTGGACATGAGGACTCCCCTACACCTTCCCAAGTCAAAGACACTCCAAAAAGGCAGTTTCTCGACTTTATTAGCCTGGAGCTCCTCCCCACCAGCCCCAGGGGCCGGTCGCTGCTCCCTGGGCACAGTGAGCAGGGCTGAGGTCAGATGGGTTCGGCCCCTGGCCATGGCAGCTTGGTTGGGACAGCCGGGCCAAGGGAACAACAGGTGCAAAAGTCCAAATGCTGGCACTTCAGGTGTGGCCGGCACCCAGCCAGGCGCAGTGGGTGGGTGGGGCATCATGCTTCTCTCCTGGCCACAGGTCGGCTGTGCAGCAGCGCCCTCTCCCAGCAGCCACTAGGAACAGCTGGTGATTCTCGCCAGGAACTGTTGTGCCCACCACTCGTCCAGGTCAATGGGCACGAAGTCTGTGGGCAGAGAACGCTGGGCAGTGATGCTGCCTCCCAGGCTGGCCAGCGTCTCTCCCCTGGAGCTAACCACAAGCCACTCACCCGGACTCTGAGTGCAGCAGGCGCTGGGAAGAAGAAGTTTCTGCACAAGAGTCCCCTCCCTCATCCCCTGGGGTGGGAACCTGGCAGGGCCTGGGTCAGGATCAGAGGGACTGGGGGATGTCTCCTGGGGGGACAGGGTTGGGGGGCTCACTCTGCAGCCGGGGATTGGGGGTCCTCTCCACGTACTGCACAGGCCTTGGCCTGCCCTCACCGGCTGGGCCACCATCCAGCTGCTGCTGCACCTGCTGCCAGGCTGTGGGAGGAGGGCAGTCGGGCTGAGCCAGGTCCCAGGCACCCCATCGCCCACCCAGGGCCTGATGGTCACCCTGGACTCCAGCCCCACACAGGGCTGGTCACAGGACACAAGGGCAGAGTGCCAAGGAAAAGCACAGCCCTGCAGTGGCTGGGGGTCAGCTTGAAGTGGGGCCATCCCGGGTCCATGTTACTGCACCCAGTAGCCTGGGCCGCACCCTCTGGCCCCGCTCGCTACCTTCGGACACAAAGCGGACATTCTCCTCGTGGGCCAGTGTGTAGGTCTCCTGGGTCCCCTCGAGGGATGGGGACGTGGAGGGGGCCCGCCGGCCATTCACACGATTGAACACAAGCCTTGGCCCTGGACTGCAGGAAGGGAGGAGACGGACATGGTTGGTGCCCGTCCCAGGCCCGGTGCTGCCTGGCAGAACTCAGGAGCAGCCCCGGGCCAGCCCACTGTCCCCAGACCCGGCCAGCCTAAGCACTTCCTGAACCCCAGAGAGCAGCCACCTGCAGCAGCCAGTGGCCCAGACCTCTCTCTTGCAGGCCCCAAGTCATCGGCAGCTCAGCTTACACCTGCAGCCCTCTGCCCTGAGGGAAGTGAGTGACTGTAGGGTGGGGGCCTCAGTCTTAGTGTCCCAGACCCCTGGTCGGGCCCCACTCCGTGCCCCTCCAAGGGTCTTGCAGGTGCCCGTGCTGCCACCTGCATCCCATCAGCAGCCCAGATTCTGACCTGAGCCACGACCCGGTCCATGACCATGTCTCTCTGCCCCAAAACCCCCACTCTGGGTGCAGTTCTAGGCCACATTCTCGCCCCACAGAAGCGCCTCCATCTCCATGATGTTTCCCTCCGTGGACGGATGGACCTGGACGGGAACGAGGGGCTTCTGCCCTCTCCCTGGCTGCCCCCAGGTCCCATGGGATGAGCACTGGGTGCCGGGATAGGCAGTCCCTGAGTGGGGAGAGTGACTATAACCCTCACTCACTCCCCACCAGCCCCAGACAAGGGGCGATGCCAAATGAGATGGCTCCCGCAGTGCCGCACGCAACATCTAGCAGGTCCCTGGGCCCATCCAGGCCAGCAGGGCCTAGGGCAGGGATGGGCGGCCCCAGCTGGCCAAGCCCTGAGCACACAAAGCCCGGCACAGGGCTGTGGAGGGAATGGGGCCGCACCTACAGCCGGAGGTGGGAGCCGGGAGTCCTGGGCTGCGCCTGCTCCGCCAGGCACTCGCGGTCCCGGCCGGCCTGCTTGCCTTCCTGGGCTCAGGTGCCCCAGCGCCGCTCTCGGTTCCTCCTCAGCTGAGAGGGGCACTAAAATAAAGAGGAGCGTCTTGAGGGGCGCAGGGTCCCGCCGGCCCCGGGGCTGGCAGGGTCTGGTGGCCGCAGAGGATCTTAAAACGTGCAGGTGGTGGAGATGGGACAGGGGCAGGGGCACCGGCACCTCCCAGGCCTGCCTGCTGCCTGAGTTTCTACACAAACCAGAGGGAATAAAGTTTGTCCACTTGGAAAGCCCTCTTGCCTGCAACCCACTCCCATCTTGGAAAGCCAAAAACTCCAAGAAAGCTTGGCGGTTGGATTATCAATGTCTAAGAAGAGAAGAACATTGCCAGGGGCTGTGAATCGCAGGGCGGAGGTGGCGGCCCTCGGGCAGGCACCGCCCCAGGGGCTCTGGTTACGTAAGGCTGCGGCTCTCTGGGGGAAAGGGCACCCACCCAGCGTGCACCTGTGGACCACTGCCAACCTCTCCCACTTTCAGGGACACTGCTCCGGGCAAACTTCAGCCCAGGGAGCTGAAGGCTGTGGAGTGTATCCTTTCATCTCCCCTCCACAGTTCACCCTTTTTTCAGCCCATGAAGCTGGGCTTGGGAGAGAATCCACCCGAGCACATCACATGCTGAGTGGGGGCAACGCTAGGATATCATCGCAAATCCAACAACAGAGTCCATGGCCCTGACCTAGTACAGCCCCCAAGCCAACCCCCCGGCCTGCCCTCACTGGGCCTCAGACCCCTCCCATCTCTCGCAGGCTGCCCCTTCTCGCCCTGTGGGGTTCATCCCATTGTCCCTTCCTGTGGCAGTCCCCATGCCCTCCATCTGCCCTGGGGTCAGGTGACCACATGGCCCCATTTCATCTCCTCAATGACTTATATCACCTTAGTTTATCTTACTGCCTCCCAACCCGTCTCCCACCAGGAGGAAGAACTTTTCAAAGGTGTATCTGGGCAGGGCCTGGTGGCTTACGTCTATAATCCTAGCACTTTGGGAGGCCGAGGAGGGCGAATCGCCTGAGGTCAGGAGTTCAAGACCAGCCTAGCCAACATGGTGAAACTCCATCTCTACTAAAAATACTAAAAATTAGCGAAGCATGGTAGCGGGCACCTGTAATACCAGCTACTCGGGAGGCTGGGGTTGCACTTGAAACTGGGAGGGGGAGGTTGCAGTGAGCCGAGATCACGCCACTGCACTCCAGCCTGGTGACAGAGCGAGACTCCGTCTCAAAAACAAACAAAGGTGTATCTGGCCTGTCACCGTCATGGGCAGCGCCCAGACCCGTACCTGGCAGGAACCAGAGCCAGCACACGTCGTGGATGACAAGAGTTGACCCTCCGGGTGCACCAGAGGAGACGCGCAGGGACCCCGACACCCTCCTCCTGCACCCAGTCAGTGAGGGATGAGGAGTAGCGAAAAGCAGCAAGGAGAAAAAAAGGCAGGGCAGGGCCAGGCACAGTGGCCCACGCCTATAACCCCAACGCTTCCACAGGCCAAGGCGGGAGGATTGCTCGACCCCAGGAATTGAATACTAGCCTGGGCAACATAGTGAGACCCATCTGCATAAAATTTAACAATTCACCAGGTGTGGTGCTCGCCTATCGTCCCAGCTACTCAAGAAGTTGAGAGGTGGGAGGATCGCTTGTACCTGGGAGGTTGAGGCTGCAGTGAGCCATGACTGCACCACTGCACCCCCCGGCCTGGGTGACAGAACAAGACCTTGTCTCAGACAGAAAAAAATAACATGAGGCAGGGAGATGGGTGGCAGCGTGGGGTGGGGTGGTTCAGAGGGAAGGGGGTTGGTTGGCCAGACACGGTGGCTCACACCTGTAATCCCAGCACTTTGGGAGGCCGAGATGGGCGCATCACTGGAGGTTGGGAGTTCGAGACCAGCCTGACCAACATGGAGAAACCTTGACTCTACTAAAAATACAAGATTAGCTGGGTGTGGTGGCACGTGCCTGTAATCCCAGCTACTCAGGAGGCTGAGGCAGGAGAATCGCTTGAACCTGGGAGGCGGAGGTTGCGGTGAGTGGAGATCCTGCCATTGCACTCCAGCCTGGACAACAAGAGCGAAACTCCATTTCAAAAAAAAAAAAAGACAGAGGGAAGGTAGTTGCCCCAAGAAGGTGCAGGAGCAGGGTGGGGGCTTCATGCAGAGGTCCCACTGCTGCCAGAAGCTCCCAGCACTGGGGCCTGGGGGTGGGGAGGTGGGTGACCCCAGGGAGCAGAGGGCAGCACACACCCTGCCCTGCCCAGGGCTCCTCCAGCCCTGCCGCACATGGGGTGAAGTCCACTCAACTCCCACATGTCTCACTGGCTGACAGAGGACCTCAGATGGGGACTTTAAGAGAACAGGCCGGGTGCGGTGGCTCACACCTGTAATCCCAGCACTTTGGGGGGCCGAGGCGGGCAGATCACGAGGTCAGGAGATCGAGACCATCCTGGCCAACATGGTGAAATACAAAAATACAAATTAGCTGGGCATGGTGGCAGGCGCCTGTAGTCCCAACTACTCAGGAGGCTGAGGGAGGAGAATCGCTTGAACCCGGGAGGCAGAGGTTGCAGTGAGCTGAGATCGCACCACAGCACGCCAGCCTGGGAGACAGAGCAAGACTCAGTCTCCAAAAAAAAAGAGAGACAACAGCCAGTGGGCCTGGTGTTGCCCACTGGGACCCTTGAGGTTCCAAGGGGAGGCCACAGTGGCTGGACTGAGGCGCCTGTGGTCTTGGGAGGGCACTGGGTTAGGAAAGGCAGAAGCAAGGGGAGGAGGAGGCCCCATTGCAGGGGAGGAGGCCCCATTGCCCCAGGGTGTCTGGGGTGAAGGCCGGAGGAGGGCAGAGGCCCTGCTCGACGGAAGCCCACGCACGTCTCCCCCACTGAGCTCTGCAAGGGCAGAGCCGGGAGACCTTGAGGAGCAGCGCCCGGCGCTCTCCGCGAACGGTGGCCTGGGCCTGCTGCAC